TTCATCAAACAAAATACATTTTATATATTTATGTACATGGAAAACAGCAGTCTGCATTTCCTACTAAAATGACTGGAATGTAAATGGGCATGTCCTGGCTTTGTATTGTTATCCAGAACAATTTGTATTATTTATCCAGAACCATTAGTTCTGATCACAGGAAGTTTTTCAGTGACAACTATCTGTACTCTCTCTGTTTGGTTTTAAGACTGACATATTGAGGTCTCTTAAATCTAACAATTGCTGTCACTGGATTTATGCTACATCCAAATAAAATTAAATTTCATATTTAAAATAAAATGTATTGAAGTACTACAGTATGACTTTTATTAGCTTGCAGTGCTACTGGTCTCCAGAGAACACTTTCTCCCTTTTATTTCCATGTCTTACACTTTTATTCAATGTTCTCTTTTTAATCTTCTATCTTTTAGAATAATCTCCCTATGAAGACATGCTATGGTTTGTGGTAGGCATACCAGACAAGACATATGCTTATAATAACCTTCACTACATGATCGATCCATGTGAAAATATGTTACAGGAATTATACTTTTTAACACACAAATACATAAAAGAGAAATATCACCTAAAATGTCAATTGTATGGCACATAGGCAGAGGATGTAACTCCTTGACCAAATTTAAACAAAAAGAATTAATGGGTCTGGGTGAAGATTCAGCCTACTGTCATTAGAATAAAACTTACAATTGAAATAATAAGTGATATTTCCTTCAGGCCATTCTTGCCATAATAAGTTAAGAATAAGGTTGATGGTATTAGGGACAACCAGAGTCATGGCATCAGAAACACATTTATTACATTGTCAGTAATTAACAAGTAAAATTAAGAATAGCAGTGGACCAGAATCAAACTCCTACTTCCAAATGTCACCAAGCTTTAAAATGCCAGTAAAGTCTGCATTTCAGATCTTTGGATAACCCTCCTGTCTGGCCAAGCCCAATTTACAAGCATAAACCTTAACTCAGTGTGATTCCAGATACAGGGAAGAACAAGAAATGTGTGGCTTTCTACCCTGTGATGTGTTTACATTCAAATTCAGACAAGCAACAGATGGACAAATGTCAACAATAATACTAAGGATATGCTTATGGTAAGGTATCCATCCATTTTATAAATTTAAAAGGGTGTTTTAATTGTATGCCTCACTTGATCTGAAAAATAAATAAATAAATAGACAGATAGATAAATAAATAAATAAATAAATATAGGCAAACAAAGCTGAAACTAACTTTCCTGAGGGGAATTTCTAGGCTGAGAAAGAATCACAAGCATTTGGCAAAGATAAACATAAGAACCAGCCAAAGGCAGCCTTAATATATGTTTGGGGGAGGGGAGGAAAGGAGGAGTTCTACCATTTTGTCATTCTGTGTTTTGAGTTATTTAACAAATGTCGGGATTACTGCAAAGAAATCAGCTGGATGCAATTATATAATGACAGAATGCCAGACACAGTAACGTTAGAGCTCTAAAATAGGCTCAGAGCTCCCCCTCAGGCTAAACAGTGTTATTACATGCTGTTAAAAGACATTTCAAGCAAACTTTATTACTTGTGGTAGGATACACGTTATCCTACCACTGAAAGATCCAAAAAGTATTTTTCTGAATATTTACATCTCATTATTATCATAGTAAAATTTTAGACTTCTTCCATTTTCTTGTTTCTACATACTTTGAATTTTTCTCAGGTCACTGTTTCACTATTGTCAGGTTTCTCTGTCACTATTTCACTATTGTCCTTTCAATCTCTTTGGAGCAGGATCTGGACTTTTATATGAAGAGAACTGATTTTTACCTGTGGCCTATTTTGAGATTTTATGTCACTTATGAGATGATCCAGAGTATGAAAGTTGACAAAGTTGTTACTATTAACTCAACATCTACATGTGCTATTATAGTTATATAACGAGTATATAACAGTAACATATCTCCTTACAAGGAGAGCTAATAGAACAAGTGCTCCAGATAAACAGTTAAAATAATCTACTGATATTCACTTCACTGCATACTGTTCATGCAGCTAATAAATATTCACATATATAGGTACTATCCAAGAAGATTTACTCATGCAAAGATTCTAATAGATTTTAGGGGAAGTATTCATGTCCATACTGCATACAAGACTGGGATATGTTTGGGTATGACAGCATATGAAAGAGATATTAAAAGAGAAATAAAATTTAGGATGTTATGTGTATAGTAATAAGTACTATAATTGCTCTTTAGTGGACATTTTCCAAATATTGCATTGCTTTTAATAGAATAAAACAAAAATAAATCACATATGGTAAACTGTTTTTGACTTCAATGGGAGCAGAAATAGGGCTGATAAGATACAGACAATGTTTTTGAAGGTTGTTCTTTCCAAAAAGGGGACTTTTTTGCTTGCAAGAATGTTGTGTATTACCACCATCTCAGCTAATGAAAGAAAGACTATGATTTTCTGAACATCGATGGAGAAACAAGCAGATTAATGGAGAAAATCACAACTGCCTTGTTTCAGACCAGTTTTGATACTAGATATAATGTGCATTCATTGTAGGACAGATTATAGAAAATTCTGCAAATTCTCATGGAATAATCAACAAGCAAAAAATGAAGAAAAAGTGCTTTTTGACAGACTGCATAATTAAACTGTAGAATTCAAAAATATATATGAATTTAAAGTTAATTAGATAAATTAAAGGTGTATAGTTGCACTGCTGGCTAATAAATAGTGCGGTAAAACAATTTTAAAAGGTTTGAGGCTTATTAGCTTGGCCTTCACATCAGCACACTAAGGAAAGGGGAAACAACAGAAAGAAGGATTCAGCAAAAGGCCAAAAGATGGATAAGGAAGGTGCTAGGATACAGAAGGAATTTAAGTGGATTGGCAATAAGGTAGCAGCAGAAATCTTGTGATAAGAGGTGCATTAAACTATGGCACACATGCGTGAGAATACAGAATTTTGTAAAGGCTGCCCCTTTGCTGAAATGTTTTTGTATGAAGGTAATGGTTGAAGCATCAAACAAAGACAAGAAGACAGCAAGTAAGGCTCTGAGAGCAGATTTTGAATGTCAAGCTAAATGAAAATTTGATTGACTTTAGTATGGAATTTGTAAATTTTATCACCCCTTTACTTCATGTTTGGACTCAGCTCTTTACCCTGTTTCTATATTAAAGCAATTAAGAATGAGAAACAATTGTGGATTAATGTGCTTTTAACATATAAAAGACCACAGTCAAAACATAGAAAACTCTATGTTACAAAACATGTACTTATTAATATGCCCTTCATTCATTCTAAAAATCAAATAGCACTACTCTTGAGATCTTTTAATCCAGTCAACCACTACGTTACTTGGTGGTGTAACTTACCTGGCACATCCAGAGCCAGATTACCTACTCTAAATTGCCACTGACCTTTATGGAAGTGACAGCATTCTGGGAAGGAGCTGATTGATGATACTATATCATGGTACTGATGTTAAAATTATCATTATCCTCTGTGGAGGTTCAAAACTTTGTAAACAATCCCTCTCCTTATGTCAGGTTATGCTATCTATCTAAACATATTAATTCCAGTGAAACGGTACAAAAATAATCATCATAATGTTGCTTGTTGTTAAAAGGAATGATGATAACTTTTTTTTTTTTTCTGAAGAGATAAACACATACTAACTCAAAATGCAGAGGAACAAGTCACTTAACATTGCTCAGAGAAATTACTGAAAGCACATATTCAAACATGTGGAAGTGTGAGAAAATCAGCTGTTTAAGGCCTTCCACATCTTCATTCCATCAAATATGTGTAAAGGGAGGGACAAACCTGCCCTGTGAAACAGGTCTCCAAAACAAACAAGCAAACAAAAAAAACAAAACCATATAGTGAGAAAGCATCTACTCATCCACCTACTGTTATCAATTATTTTTCACTCTCCAAATTTCTCTCTCCCTTACTGCGGACTCCAGAGTCCATTCTTCCTCCAAGGACTATTTGCTGGCTTGGGGTAGAGTCCAGCTCAACTTCCACTGAGAAATAGGTATGTATTTTTGATGTGAAAGATTAAAAGGCTCCCTTCTACTGTCCAGAACCAGGAGCTGAGACAGTGTGAGGAGCTCTTGCAACCAGCAGCTGTGTCCCATATTCACAGCTTCTTGTTTTTTAATTACTATTAAAAGTATCATCCTATCTCTTTCCCTCCTTGCAAAAGCGTACGATAATTGCTAGAGTTAAAAGCCCACAAGCTTCCCTAGATGTCTAAGGTGCAGACAGAGTAAGTTGCAGACAACACAGTCCCTGGCATGCCCACTGGTTAGACCTGTGTTAAAAGGTGTAACAAAACATATGTAAGCACACACATTTCCTCTGCTATCATTGGTATCAATTAATAAGGGAGGGCAGAAGCAAACACAGGAAAGTTCATCAGACAGTCATGCTGCAGACTGCAGCCTTCAGCCATCGTGTTGTACAGAGGAATGGCTGTTAACCTCCCTCTGCCAGGCTGGCCAGCTCCTCTTTCTCCCACCAGCCAACCAGTCTGTATTTCTGCCAAACAAATTGTGGGCCTTGTAATATAACTCACTTTTGCACTTACAAAGCATTGTTACTACCTCTTTGGTAGCAGTCTAAGCTTTCTACTCCAAACTATAATGAAAAATAAATAAATAAAAAAAAAATAAGAAGTCTGATCTCACTTTAAATGCACAGTCTAATTACCTGAACATAAGATGTTAACATTAACACAAAACTCTGATTCTGAATCCTTAAAGCTGAGTGAAGGACTGTCATTTTCAGGTGTGAAAAGCAACAGGGAATTTTTATTAAAATTTTAATTAATACTAGCTTAATATTACTACTTAATAATCAGGACAAAAACACATCTATCTGTACAAAAAAAAAAAAAAAAAAAAAAAAGACCACTCAGACAAAGAAATAACCACTGGGAACCTTTTACCAAATACGTGTCAGCCATTCATTTTCAATTTGCTGATCTTTCTCTTCTCTCTTTGGTTAACACATTCCTAGTTATGCACTTTATCTCATTTTCAAAGAAGGCCTCTATTTATGAAGAGTCACAGCCATTTTCTTCTGGATGGAAATGCTGCCCTCAAGCTGCCATTGTAACCTGAAACAAGGATGCTTCATTGCTTCAGAAAAGACCCCAGGGACTCTTATTCATACACATATTTATCTTCTTCGTGATGTACACACAGATTTCCATTGTGAAGAAAAGCTGTGTGATTCCAAAAGGCTGTGCCTTTCAGGAAATGAACATTTTTTCAGGATTGAGATTAAACTGCAGCATTTGGGGGAAGAGAGGAGGAATCTTACCAGAAAAGCACTTCGCTACCGTAAGGAACTGGACAGAGTCAGATCATGGTTTTTGCTGTATTTCTTCCTCTTCATTTCATCTCCTTTCAGATGTCTGTTCCCTTTCAGTCCCCCATCTCTGTCCCCCCAGGTCTGTTGGTTTTCAGCTTCATTCTTGACCCTCAGCCACAATCTTGCTATTTTACTGCACACTATCCAGAACATTCATCTATACCCACCTTTTTAATAGCATTGCTAATGATTTGAGAGGAATAAATCACAGCCAAGATAATGGCTGCAAAAAATTAATAGACATGATTTTTATGATATAATATACTAGTATACTAATCATTTCAACAGTTAATTGAAAAGCACTAAATATTTTATTATTCATTCGGTATTCCTTCTCCTTTTTACCATTCATGTTTCTGTTTATTTTTCTTCTTTTATACCTTTTTAAACTACTGTTCCATCCTAATTTATCAGTAATATATGCAGCCTACTGACATCTTACCACACCACTCTAAAAAAATACTAAAGAAACAGGATTTTGGAGGGGACACTGATGCAGATGAGATGGGGAATGCAGATTCCATTTCAGTATCTAGAAAGCCTAGTGATGAAGGAGGTCTTATTTTTTCCAATTATTTTTTAAAAATATGACTTAAATTATTGTCTCTCCGAAGCATGCAGACTCATTGTGATAATCAAGCTGAGATTCTTAAAGGGACAGATCACTTGCCAGTTCAAGGACTCTATTTTGTCTCCAACATTGGCTCAGATCCCTAAAATGGGATCGATCATAAATCACATTCTGTTTCCAAAAAAGGTTATACGTAAATTTATGAAAATGAACTGGTGGGTTGCTGTTTTTGTTTGTTTGTTTATTTTGGTTGGTTGGTTGGTTGTTTTTGTTTGTTTTTGTTTGCTTTGTTTTGTTTTCCTGGCACAGTCGCTTGTTTTTTGTTTGTTTGTTTGTTTGTTTGAGATTTTGCCTTTAACATTAGTACTTCTTTCATAGTACTTGAAAAACGCAAGGCATGTCCTTTACACAGCCAATAGCTAGCAGAGTAATACACCAAAAATGATTAATTATATTGTCTGGCATTTGTAAACACAGCCAGGAGCTTGCTTAAGTAAGGGACTTTATTAAATAAATGCATTGGCTGACAAAATCAGTGCTAATTCTGTTCAGTTAGGAACAAGTTTTTAAATTTTGAGTATGTTTAGCACTTCAGAAAATATTACATATGTGATTTAGAAGGCAAAGAAAAGGCTGTTACTATATTAAGTAACTTTATAATGCTCCAACCCTGTGATATCCATGCTGTTAGAATCTTCCTGCAAGGACAGTCCCATGAAGCCATGTGATGATCCTATGACAGTTAATATAGTTACACACTTACACAGCTACATAAAGCTGATACTAAATTATCAAACCAGACAAAGTTTAGTAGAAAGTTCCACATAGTCTGTGATGACTGCATGCAGCACTTTTCCACAGATCTCTGCCTCATTCAGCAAATGAATACTTATGCAATCTTTTCTTTATATTCCCCACAGAACATGTAGCCCCAAATATAGATTTTTTCAGCTCTGTGTAGGCCTCTCTCAAGAGTTCCTCAATAAAATGTATTTTTCTTAAAAAGCAAGAATAATGCCAAAATCTATGAAATAAGTTACTACTGTTTCCTGTGCTGCTAGTTTCTGAAAGAAGAAAAAAGGCAGGAATTAGCTACCAGTTGCAAAAAATATTACCAGTATCTTTGGATGCTCAGAAAACTTTGCTATGACCTGACTTGCAGATCACTATCCATAGCACTTTTAAAATTTTTAAATTCAAAGCACAATGCCCTTTGACTTTCATTTTAAGTGCTGAAATCTCAGACGTGTCTGTCTCTGTGAATTCCTCTTTCAAGGAGAACTATGTGAACCAGTGCCTGAGCGCATAATGGAGCTCTCCCCACTGCAAGGATCTGTCCCCAGGACATCAGCTGCAAGTTTGCATGGCTAGCCCTCTCTCCTCCTCTATTCTGATGTATGCTCAGAACATTGCAAGTATCTTCAAGTAGTCATATGAAAATGAAAGACTTTATTTTCACTTTGATGCCGTAAAACATTTATCTCAAGTGTATATATGGAAACATAATGAAGACTTTTTTTTTTCTTCATTTGCAATTAGGTATTTGCTTTGGAGTTTTTAACACTTAACCCCAAACACACATACAGCCACACTCAAGACAGATCTCTGGTAAAAAAAACAAAACAACTGAGGCCTGAATTTTCAGATGTACAGAGCACCTGCAGTTCCTGTTGACATCAACTGCCAGGCTCTCAGCACTACTGAAACTCTGATCTTAATTTATAGAACACCATAGGCATATTTATTCTCTAATGAGCAGTTAGCATTTGGTGCACTTTAAAGTGATAAAGGTGCAGATAGAGGAAGGAGAAAAAAAGGTAGAGTTAAATTATCCAGAAAACTTATTTGTTCTGTTGTTCTCTATGCCTTATCAATCCTGTGTTTGACATCATTCAGCTTAGCTGATACGTTTGAAGATTAAGTACAAATGGCACACAAAATGTATTTCTAACCATCTCTTCCTCTCACATAAAGAACCTTGTTTACCCTTATGTAAGTACAGCCTGAAGAACAAGTCCATATGTTTAGTCAGTAAGGACAATGAAGGCAAGAAGCCACAGGAAAAGCAGCTGTCCTGGCTAGCACTGGGAGCTGTACCTGGCCTGCAGCTATGGAGACACACACACAGCTGAGTAGCTGGCTCCACCAGCGTGGCTCCTGCTGTCTGCATTGGAAGCAGTTGCTGGCCAGCAGGCTACAAAGGAAGAGCAATCGTACCCTCTCTAGGAAGATTTCTCTGTGTTCACCCGTACTCCTTTTCTTATTTTCCAACCCATCAATTAAATTATTCATTTCTGATATACATTGTGGAATACTTTATGACCACACAGAATGACTTTTCACTTGCCAAAACAATGCTGTTGTGTACATTCAACATTAACTCCACCAGCCAATTCTCACCTTTCCTTTTCAATCCTCCACTTGTAATCATTTGACTCTCACATAATAGTAATAATAATAATAATAATAATAATAATAATAATAATAATAATAATAATGTTGAACTACAGTGTTGCATAATATTACTTTACTAATGTTTATTAACAAAAAGCAATTAAGTCTATTTCAGTCTATTCTATGTGAAAAGGGCAGTCTTGTGCTTTTCTAAGAGGGAATGAGCCTGTCACACAGTCACTGTACAACAGCACTGGCTGTGCAATTCTCTGAGGTTGTAGGTTTTCAGAAATAAGGCAAGAAACAGAAATATTAGCACTTCTTCCACAAACAGCATCAAAGGTGCCACTCAGGACTCTCAAGGTAAAATTCATTCTAGTTCTAAAGACAAAACAATTTTAGAGGTATTCTTGAATATTTTGGCATTGTAGGAAAGACTTACAAGAAATGGGTGCTACATTTATTTTTCTTGCAGTAGAGCAGTTTGAGAGATGAGTCAACAATTTCACTGTGGTGGAACAGAGAAAGCAAATATTAGCAGAAAGGACGTGATAATTGTTTTTGTGCACCAAGTTTTAAAAGCACATACATAGTGACACTATTTTGGGGGGATTTGTATCTGATAAAGTAAAACTATATTTCATAGGTTCAATTTTCAGCCTATGTTATAGCTTGAGAAAATCATGCTGAGTTATGCTGAAGACTCAATTGGTCTTATTACAACTGTTGAATGTAATCCTTACAAGTAGAAGAGCTATGAGCTTTTCATGAATGAACCTTCCAGAATGAACCCAGCCCTTTCTTCCAACAGTCAGTACAGACAGCAACCTGATAGACATGATGCAAGCTTTGGATCAAGCTAGTCAATGTTTTATTTTAGTTTGTCTGAACATCATTCTTCAATGACTATATTCTCACTATGTTCTCCCAGTATAAGGTCCTATCACAACAGGCAGCAAAAGGGAAGTTCTGCAACCTTGGTGCCTACAGAGCTCTTGCAAAAAGAGCTCCACCAGCATGGGACTACAACCACAAGAACTGAAAGCCTGTAGGCAAGGACCAGCAAGTCATACATAGCTATCATACAGGTGGGTCTCCTGCCTTTAGATCTGCAATGGCCATTGCAGATGCTAATGCTAGCACTTTAAACTTTCCTATCCATAGGTCTGCAAACTGGTATCATTTCAGAGTCACTGCTGAGATTTCTCATTTAAACAATGATCCTACTGGATTTATTTGTGACTTCTGTCTATTTAACATTTTTATTCTTGTCATGTTTTGAGGATGAGTATACATTCCAGAACTCATACATGAAGGCAAAAGACTTGTTTTAGGAACATTGTTACTGCTACAAATGAAGCATTACATATGATAACTTTAAAAGAACAGAAGGCTCCCAATCAGACACCTACTGAAGAGATACCATGCCTGTACAATTGGACTGCTCAAACTACTTCATCAGTGAGTTCAAAACAAAAACTGCCTGAAACAAAAGGGCTGGGAAGGTTACCAATGTTCAGAGCCTCTAATACAGCAAAACCCCTCTTTTGTCAGATATCTGAGACTTCCCAGTGGAAACATTTTGTATCCCTGATGAATCAACTGGTGACTTCAGAGAAGAATCCAAAGTGTGATACATGTTCTCATTCATGATTACCCTGAAGAAGGATGATATCATGCTGAGATGATATCATGCTGAGATGACAGATATTTATGAAGATTTGATAAAATAATTTCTGTGTCATCACTGTCTTGATTCTATACAATTAAGGGCTTATTCATGTGATGCTCAGGGTGGATAATGATAGGTTAATGTTACATGACTTTCTATTTGAAAGACTTTTTTGATGCTTATTATACTTTCCTCAGATTTACAGCTTATAACTGAAGATTCCCATCTAAATTTGGTGTGTTTTTGTTTGTTTTGTTTTTTTTTTTTTTCTCTCCAGACATATTGCTGGTGTCCTTCATCATTGTTTTTGTACGCTGTTTATGCTTAGCAACTTAAATACAGACATGAAAATGAAAATTATGTAGTGCAATGCTAAATAAAAATAATTAAGTAGAGCCTTTTCATGCCTCTTATTTTAATCTCACCAAGAATCCTAACACTCAGCTAATGAAAACTCAAAAATAGCTTTTAACATAAGTAAACAGAGGCACATAAGTTGATGAATATCCTCAAATCACATAAGGAGGCAATAACAGAAATACGAGTAACATCCATAAATACTGTCTTGTGATTCTTAGCTTTAACTGCAAAGACTTATGTCCTTGATATTAGTACAAATATCAAAGAGACTAACAACTGTAAGAAGAATTACTTTATGACAAAGGACTAGTGCTGTCAAAGTAATGATATTACAGCAGTATATCAACAGAAGAATAGCTATACTAACATCTATCTAATCTCCTATCCTATCTTCCGTTACGGCCAATAAGGCTGGTTTGGAAGGATTATGAGTATATATCATATACTGATATTTCCCCAGAATAGTCTTCCCGCTTCTAGCAATTCATACTTTAGGGACTTTCTGAGCCAAAGCTGTATACTTAGATATTTTATTTTTTCTGTCAGTAATTTATCTAACAGGTTTTCTTAATCAGAATAATTTTTTCATATGTCAAATACTAAATCTAAACTTGGAGGTAAGGAATTCTGTTGTTTACTTTGCTCTGCATGAAAGTGGATCTCTTCTGTGTGTTTCAAACTGAACACCCACTATCTTCTTTTGGATTCCCATTCATACTCGAATAATACTACTTTCATTCAAATTCTATAAGTTCCTGGTACTTAAAATATTAGCACCATGGTAGATGTTATGTTTATTTATTTGTAGTAAAAAATATATTTTAGCTTTTACAAAAATGTAATGTTTCAAACAGACTCAGTGGATGGAACTGAATGGGCTCAGGACATGGTTATTTCATAGTTTTAGTCATGAATTATTACCCTGAAATTATTAACCTTTGTTATTCTATGAAATCTCTGTGTATTTAACAGAGCTGAGAGCTTTTTGCCAAATATAGAGCTTAACACTGAAGACTTAAAGCTTTTCTCAATGGCTTCAGGGAGAAGGTTCCACAATAACTTTCTATCTCAGACTGACTTGGGAGAAAATAATAACAACAATAATAATAATTCAAAGTCCTTCCAAAGCATGAAGTTGTTTACATTATTCTCCCAATATTGAAAACTGTTACACTGGAACAATGACTTCTGATAAACTCAGAGCTGAATAATCTTAAACCATAAAGTCTTTTAGAGAAGTCTACTGCATCAGGCAATTTTAAGCCTTGAAAATTCTCATTTGCAGAAGCCTGAATGAGGTTTGCCAGAGGATAGCAATACATGGCTCTAAGTATTAAAACTCCTGAGGCCTTCCCTAATGATGCACTGAGGCAGCCCTCCCAACAGTGTTCCTATGGTGTTCACTGGGACTATTCTGCCAAAGGGATTGAAGACAATTTCTCCTTCAGAAGCAAAGATTATGAAAAGTGAGACCAGGAGGATCATAATTCTTCTGAACAGAGAATAAAGCATTACATTCCTTTGCCTTGATACACAGTTCATTACCAAAATGCTTTTCTCCCCTTGAGTTATGGCAGATCTCTGAGAAAATAGTAACCTCTAACAGTTACTTTTAATTTCTCAATTCACTTAAGGTACAAAGATCTGTGTCGTAGTCACCACCCCACCAGAAATCTTTCTGTGCAATGGAATTTGCATTTCTATCACAGTGTTTTTTAAAAACATTGTGATTAATTAAGTACCTGGAAAGATTGTACATCATTGTTTAATAAATATTTTCCAGTATTCATTTATACAATCAGATAGTGTTTTTTTTCATAAACTCTCCACTGTAACACACTTGGCACTTGGTATTTTAGAGACAAATCAGAATGTGTTTCTGTATTACAGTTTAAAAGTTGAACTACAACTCATGTAGGTGTATCTGAGCTTGCATTGAACTATCTTTAAAAAAAAAATAAATACTGTTAGCACCATAGCCCTAGCAACATAGGATTTCCTACAGGCAAGCTGCCACATTTTTACTTTGGTTCTAGGGAGGTTTTTTAACCCAGATTGAATTTTTTTACTATGTAACTGCTCAAAGATCATCTCCACAGGAATGTTAAAGGGATTAAAACTGAATCAACTTCACTCTATTAAAGATAACCAGATTAGAAAATAAATTAAATATTTTCAGTGAGGCATTTTCAGAAACCAACAATAGACTCCCTCACTGAGAAATTAACAATCTCTAGAAGCTATATTTTTTGGAATAAAATATTCAATAAAGGCAATGTTCTGGGGAAAAAAAAAATATATATATATATATATAAATATATATATATATATATAGAGAGAGAGAGAGAGAGAGAGAAATAGAAAAAGAAGAAGAAGCCATTAGATAGACACAAGTAATGGTTTTAGATTAGGTTTTCCTCTTCCATCTTCACATTTAACAGTGTGACATTTGCCCCAAAAACAGTGCTCTAGCTTGCATAAATATCCCTGAGTACCACATGCCACTGAAAGCAGTTGTTTTTGTAATATTTTCATAGTAGTTAGTATGAAAAAAATATTAAGTTCTAACAGAGCGTATCATTGACACACAATTCATTCGCAGCTCCACTATAAAGGAGTTTCCCAGAAAGTCTCCCCGACAGCATCAGTAGAAAACAAATACGTACATACATACATAAGAAGTTTGTGTTTTTTTAAAGCCTTATCACTGAAAATGGTTTACAAAGGAGCTTGCTGCTAAATTAAAGTCTACTCCCTCAAGGACTCTTATGTCTCTTTCAAAATGTTTTTAAAGCGTTTTCCTCTTCAATAGATCACTACAATGCCATGTAAATAAAACTGATTAATAAGAATTCAGTGAGGAGAGAGAGACATTTACCATAAAACCAGGAATGCTTTGAGCTCTGTAGAGATTCCTTTCTGCCACACACAGCTTGGCTGGAAACATTCCACTGGTCCCACAATGCACATGTTTTCAATTACAAACTACAGATTTTATCAGAGTTTAAGTTAATTATTTTATACCTCTGAGATGAAAGCAATTCATGTTTAAAAACAAATGTACATATCTTCCTATTTTAAAGCAAAAATATTTGTGCTTCCCAAGAATGGGCTGCAAACCCTTTGGAATGGTTTTTACTTTTAACATCATTGTGATAAGAAATCTATTCCTCTCCTGTGGTTTACCTCTCTGGTGTTATCAAGCCTTCACAGCATAATGAGATCAAAATTACATCTCATGGCAGTCTATTATGCTCTTGTTATTTACAGGCTTTATAGAAGGAAAAAAAAAAAAAAAAAAAAAAACAACTCTGCACTAGCTTTTGTAAAAATGATCCAGTATGTATTTTCTACCCACTGCTGTTTTCAATGTCCAAACTGTATCAAAGTAAAACAGCCCAAAGGAAATGAAGCAGTTTCTGTCAACATCCCCAATGTGCCATATGAAGTATACATCCAGTATAATACTTGAGATTTATATGTTAATAATATCAGCTTGTATTTAATAAGTAAATCATATATATTGTTTTACAAAATAAAAAGAATCATCAGTTATCACAGATAAATCTCTAAAATTTGTTACTGAACTTTATGCCAAAACCAAAATTATAACAGTATGGACATGTATTTTCAAAACTCTGTGTTAATATATATAATACTCCATCCAACAAATCAGTGATTTTCAGTCTGTCTTCTCTGACAGTAGACAAGGCCATGACATCATGCTGTCTAAAACTAGTCAAGAGAAAATTTGTTTTTAAGCACAAATATCAAAAAATAATATGAATAAGAATTAATGTGGAATTAACTTCCACTGCCAAAAGGTTATTTTCTTTAAGGACACATGGAAAATAAAAACTTCAGATTTTTGAATTAGGACACACTACTGCTCTATCAGATAGGGGAAGAAAAAGAGACTGAGGTTCTTCCATTTTGCGCTCTTGCCATGGAATTGTCACAGAGCTGTAGGGAAGTTCACACTGCACATCAACAATGATCAGTTTAGCATTCTTTGAAATAGGAAGGACAATGTTTGTTAATCTAATTTAGTAAAGCACTATGAGATTTACATTTAAAAGTGTTATCTATAAATGTAAAGCAGACAGTAAATATCCTAAAGCAAAGGAATGACTCATCAGCACTCAGCTAATTTGTGGCAAACACTCATTACTTCAGTTAATTTGTTGTAAAAAAGAATAAAACCGTAACAAACATTATCTGGCCAAAATAGTACTGAACACAAAGGGCATTCTGGAAATAATTTCTGCCCTTCTAGTTTTATACTAATTGTCATGTAAATTAACAGAGGTAAAAATCACCAGCTCAAAAAGTAAAATGTTTCTTTTGTTTCTTGAGTGGGCCTCAGAAAAGTTTTCTCCACCTGATTAACTAACATTGTGTTTGTTTTGTGGACAGTAAAATGTAAAAAGTTTTCTTTTTCCTGTCAGCAAATGATGAATACATGTGGAACAGATTATTTAATACCACTAGACCACCAGGGAAGAAGATTTAGGTGAGCACCAGCAAAGCTGTACCATTTATTTTTATTACCATGCATTAAAAATTACGTTTACAGATAATTGTTTTTCTCTCTCCAATAAACCAAGATTTAGAAAAAAAAATCAAGGAGAATATTTAATAATACCAGGCCACCAGGGAGGAATTTTAAAAGTTGATTTTTTTTATAGACAAATTAGATTCTCTTTTCTCTTTCTTTTCTTTTAAATTTCCAATTATTTTTAGCTGTAATTTGTGGAGAGAAAATTTGAAAATAGAATGACAAAATGAGTTTTCAGCTGGGGGAGTTTCACACAGCTTAAGTTGTCCTTTTATAAGGGTAATTAGCTAATCAAACAGTCCCTCAACACCAGCAGTTTTATAACACCTGTGTAGCTGCCCACATGTTACATAATGTTTTGCAGCTGTAGGTCCTCCTAGGTCCAGTCCTATTTTTTTAGTATTCTTTGTCATTCCTGCTCCCAATGAAGGCTGATACTACTGCTATCTGTTTCTGTATGAGTGTTCCTGGGTGCAA